CGTCCAGTGCTTCCATGTTTTCAACGGTGGTCTAACATCAAACGGTTCATTATCTCAATCATAAAGATAAGTAGTAAAGTTTTCATGCTCAGGGATATATTAACGTTTGTATACATCTTACTAATAAGATTGTAGGTAAATAATCTTGTCATTTTAATGGGTGCTGATGATTATTACACAATCTTAATCTTTCAAGAGATTTCCAAGGGAAATTTACTTGGAAGATTGGAATATTATTCTGAAATATATAATCATTCGAATGTTGATTAGTAGGAGACGATAAGTGAAAGTCATTGAAAATAATTCATATATTAGGTGGTACTCTGGTGTGTGCTACTTATATTGGCATAAGTAGCGTATGATGTTAGTCGTGAACAAAAGGTTTGGGGGCAGAGAGACAAGAAGATCGAACAGTAAAGAATAGGAACAGAAGGCAATTTGTATGAAAATGCAAGAACAATGAAGTCTGAGTCATTATGAGACAATTGGTAGACATTTTGAAAATTAGGCATTTATTTTATGATTGTTAGATTTTATTAACAAGTCCTGAAATGTCGTGTTAAATACATTCGATTGTCCCCACTGGTGTTCTTGTTCACTACATTTGGTGTCGCTGCCAACCAGGAGGTGAGGATTGCTGTTCTGCGAACGCCGTTGCGGGCCTGGGGCTGAGGTGCTAGTTGGGGCAGTTTGGTGCGGAGGGGTGGCGTCGAGTGGAGTGTTCACTACAGTACCTCCTCAAAAATGATATATTTCTAATCTTAAGGGAATACGAGCTATTACACTTGCCATGCCATATTACAAACTATCCAAATTTAAAATATAGATTGTTTCATTCTAATTCAATCGTGTAAAAAATAATGTTCAGATTTGATGATCTCAAAATCTTAGATTCGATTACTAATATAATCAAAGTTATGCATTGTTGAACTGTCCCATACTAAGATAAAAAAAACACTATTTTAATGAAAGATGGATAGTAGCTAGCAGTGGAATCCAGAACACACATTTCGTCCTATTTCGGAACTTATCAGCTAGATGTACTTGTATCTCAGAGTTCATACTCACTCTAGAACTCAAACCCAGTACCGTTTTTTTCAAATACCAACACGTTCTCCACTCAACTACTAAGTCCTAATAGTTACCTGCTTGTACAATGAAGTGAAATTACAAATAAACAACATTAAATGAATTTAAAATTTATTTAATATCAGAAGGGGTTTTGTGTGGATATATTTATAGTAATTTTAATAGTTGAGATCATGAGTCAATTAAAGCTAGACCATCATGGAAAACCTGGAACCACTGGACGGCTGTCATTGAATGCTTAATTCTTTTCATTGTTTCTATTAGATAATGTCAGTTATCTATATTACTTAATTAATTCTTGATTGATGAAACCAATTAATATATAAGATCATACTTCATGGAATATTAGTTAGTTATTATTGATTTTTGGGGGAAACCGTTTATCCATATACATATATATATGTATGTATGTTTGTATGTTTGCATAGGAATGAAGGTGTCTGATTTCGTCATGTTTTCTGAGAGAAAAATTTTTTTTTTCAGGAACCAAAAACAAACAAACAAAAATGAACAAATAAGTCAATTCCATAAGAAGATATAACTTCTCTATTCGTTGTATTCAGCTTAAAAGAAATAGTCTATAGAAAGAAAAGAGAAACAATTTACTTATGTCACAATTAATTTGTCTATATGATTAGCTAATGGTAAAATTATTATTATTATTACTGTCAGCTTATTAGTTCTTAAGTGATGAGAAGTGAAAGATTGTAGAATGTATAAAGGGGAGAAAATTGTTTGATGAATAAATTACTATGTGTCATAGACTTCTGTTGTTATTGTTGTTTCAATGGTTGAGATCATGAGTCAGTTGAAGCTAGATCATCACGGAAAACCTGGAAGCACTGGACGGCCATTTCGTCCTATTGTGGGACTCCTCAGCAGTGTGCATCCACGAACCCGCCCCCCTGCGTGATTCGAACCCAGGACCTATCAGTCTCGCGTGAGAACGCTTAACCACTAGGTCAATAAGACGGCCGGCATCTAACGGTGTTAATGTCTAACTTCAACTAATCCACAAAATTGAGCTACACATTCACCATAGTCTTCAGTGAGTTACTATCTCACAAAAGACCTGGTTGAATCCCACTGGTCACTAGTTCTCACTAGAACTCCAGGATATACATCATGAAGCCAGTCTATAGTGAGCATATGTTGATTAATATCAGATGGGTTTTGTGGAGACTGTAGTATCTCACAGGGGCGAGGTCGTGGATGCGCATTGCTGAGGAGTCCCACAACAGGACGAAATGACCGTTCAGTGCTTTCAGATTTTCCATGGTGGTCTAGCTTCAACTGACTTATGATCTTAACCATTGAAATTACTTCAATCTCCACAAAACCCATCTGACATATATATGTGGTTTTATCGTGGATTGATATCTATTAGGATACTAGGTAATATTAGACACTTACTTCATCCAGGTGTTCAATTGCTCAGGAATGTACAGCTTTAAGCCGGCTAGGAATCAAACCCATAACATTTAGTGCGCTTTATGAACCTACTGTGTTTTAGGACTTACGAGAGAGGCAATTATTCAGTGATATTGGTAATAATAGTCTCACTATACAGATGATTGAATAATAGTCAATAGTAGTTACGGTATTTTTGAAAATCAGGGACCGCTAGAAAGTTGTTCATAGTTGTAATGTGAGATACTTGAGAAAACTTTTTATGATGAAGCTTGGTCTTCTGAGCTGGATGGTTTGGTCGTGGAGATGTCATCGTTCTTCTAAACGACATCTTCAGCACAAAAAAACTATCAAAATCATCCACCTGGGCTAGAAATCTTCTTCACCATCTCAAAACTTTTTATGTATTAACAGAAATGTCTAAACATAATTTTTAAGTATAGCATCATAAATTTGCCAAATCTATTCATCCATTAGAAATTGGGTACATTATAGGTCATAGGGTAATAGTAAATTTGTAAATATGTTTACAATTAAGTTGAATTCATTGGCAAGGAGAATAACTAAATAACTAAGACAGTAATGCAACGGTTCATAGAAATAATATGAAACTATTGAAGGTTGAAATTGTTTGTAGTTTTGTGTAAAACAACCTTGTCATCAATCATCTTTATTGGCTAAATTCACGTTGTATATCACTTATACTACAATATGAAATTAATTAAATGCGATGATGTTTGAAGCGAACGGTACTGAGTTCAAGTCCCAGAGTGAATATCAACTCTGAGATACAGGTACATCCAGCTGACAAGTCTCAAATGGGACGAAACGCGTATCCTGAATTCCACTGCTAGCCACTATCAATCTTTGCTTATTTTCTAGTATTTTTTAAAGTCTAGAGAAAAATTCTTAAGACAAAATACAATTGTACCTTGTTTAATTAGACTTATGTGACATTTATCATGTCAAATTATAATTAGTCTATATACTCAATGGTTGCATCGACTAATCCTAATAGACAACTGTTTAATGGATCTCTGTTCAAAGAAAGACTATAAAAGAAATTTTGATGGAGTTTTGTTTTCTGAACTGGAAGATTTGATCTTGGAGTTTTCATCGTTATTGTGAACGACATCATCAGCACAAACTTCAGGTAGAAGTGAAGTGTTCGAATTTCTCCACATATGGTTCACAGCTTATCCTGTAGACCCTGATGTTGCACGATGAAAGCTTCACGACCAAACCATCCAGCTCAGAGAACAAATCTCCATCAAAATCATCCACCTGAACTACAAATCTTCTCCACCACCATATTATAAAAAAACATACTTAGTACAATAGTTCTTTCCATTGTTCATTGCATATACTTTCATCAGCCATATACACTTATTATTGTTTACTTTCAGAAATGATATTAAAATTAAATGTATTTATTAGATCAAACTACATTTTACCTTAGCATTTGAAGAATAAACTAATCCTAGTTAAATAAGGGAATACTTTTCCATGAATTCGTGAATTGTTGTTCAGTAAACATTAAATTTTAAGAAAAATTAGAGTGAATTTCAATAGTTGAGATCATGAGTCGATTGAAGCTAGACTACCATGGAAAACTTGGAAGTACTGGACGGCCGTTATGTTACACAATAGGAGCGGGATCGCAGATGAGTGCTGCTGAACAGATTACGCCAAGAAATGAAGAAAGGCATGAGAAGAATGAACAACAATTGGATAGAACTAGAAAGTAAGGCCTAGAACAGAGTGGGTTGTAGAATGCAGGTTGGCGGCCTATGCTCCACTGGGGGTAACATTCATAAGTAAGTAATTATGTACTGTACAAGGCAGTTAGAATAAGAAAGAAGTTGAAAATATATCTTTGTGAAATTATACCAATTATTTAGACTTAAAGCATTCATTGAATGCATTCAATACATCAAGACTGTTCATAACTTATGGCATTTACAAAATAATCCCTAATAAATCTTCATCTTGAAATGCATTAAAATCAAGTCAAGTTCAAGAATGTAACTAGTCATATGTCCTAGTTTAAATCACTATGATACTATCGTACCTGCTTCAATTCGGCCACATGGATAGTATCCCAGCCCTAACATAAATCAAATGATTTATGTGGCGCATAACTTTATGGTGCCTCCTTGTACCAACGTTTATGTGTTTAAATAAATAAATAGATAAAATTGTATACTGTTTCAGTAGAATTGTGGTGCGTGCTACTTATATTGATATGAGTAGTAGATAACGCGAGTCAGGAATGTAATGTCTGGCAGCAGAAGATGGGGAAGATCAAGAAAGGAACAGCGGGAATAGAAAGCAATTAGTATGGAAATGCAAGAACATTGAAGTTCGAGACAATTATTGAATATTTTGTAAATTAGGTATTATAGTATGGTTTTTCTATTTTACCAAGTAACTCTGTAATTTTATGCTAAATATAATTCAGTTGTCCTCACCTGTATTCTCCTTCACTACAGAATGACCAATTACAGATCCAACTGTAGTCCTTCAATAAATATTGTCAATAATAAACTTACAATGAATACATTCATCCATATATATCCATAATATAAATAAAGTATCAAAAACTTACTTTTCTGAATAACATCCTCTCTATATTGACTATTTGATAAAAATGTACATTTAGATTGTAAATGATCAGGATTCAAATGTTTTAATGTAGATCGAATTAGATCAGATTGATCATTAAATAATGATGACGATGATGATGATGATGATTGAATTGATTGAGATGGTGAATGATATGTTGTAAAATTTAATAATTGTGACCAATGATCTGTTTGTAAATAATTTACAATATTATTAATACTAGGGATATCATAATTCATATAGTTGTCATGACTACTATTACTACTACTATTACTAGTAGTATTGGTAGTAGTGGTAGTAGTAGTAGTACTACTACTACTACTAATAGCAGTGTTAGTATTGAATGGTAACTGAATTTGTGATAAATAAACATTTTTAAATAATTGTAAAAATAATTTTTCATCTAATTTATTTGGTATCCAATTAGAATCTTGAGTTTGTTTTCTATCATTAATGGTTATCATTGAATGTTTCATTGATTGTTTTATTGATTGATATGGAGTACCATTTTTTGTAAACGTATTTTGTGAATGTTTCTCTATAGGTAATTGTTTTATTTCATTATTTAATTGATTATTCAAAGTACTATTATTATTATTATTATTATTATTATTATTATTATTATTATTATTATTAAGTTCTAATAGAGTATGTATTGTAAATGGTAAATGTTTAGTATCTGAATCGTGTTGTTCTATCATATTCAATGTATATTCAAAATATTTTAACGATTGTTTTGATGAATAAGAATAAAAACAAAAACAAAAAGAAAAGAAAAGAAAAAGAAAATTAATTCAATAATAATTAAAAATTAATTTTTGTTACCCACTAAGGTTTTTTTTCTTTCTTTCTTTCCTTCCTTCTTTCTATGGTTTTACAATTAAATTTTTTTTAGTAAATTTAGCTAATCGAATGTTGATTGGCTTAAAATGTTTACGCTCCTTCTCCTATTTCCCACCCACCACCATAAAATCAGCCAACCACCAACCCACCCGCCCATCGCACCTTATTCTAATGTATTAAAAATTTTTCTGCAGGTTTTTCTCTTTTTTTCTCTTTTGTTTTCTTTTTCTTCTTTTGCTTTTAACCAATAATTTAAAATTTATTTCTATGTAGGATAGGAATAAAACACAGTTATATTATAAAAGGTATGAAAATTTTATACCTAATTTAATGATAATGATAATAAGTAAATGAAGATAGCCAATCATAATGTAAAGTTTACGGAGTTCTCTAATTCTCTTGATTGGTCATTTCAATTTATAGTTAATTTCTTTAATTTGTTAATTGCCTTTTAATTATTGTCATTTCTAGTTGAGAAGCTGTGACCAGTGGAGTTCAACCAGGTCCGTTGTGAGATATCAACTCATTGAAGACAATGATGTAAGGTGGAGCAAATTCGTGGATTGGTTTAAGTTAGACATTAACACCATTGGATGCCGGCTGGCTCAGTGGTCTATTTGGTTAAGCGCCTGGCGCGAGACTGATTGATCCTGGTTTCGAATCTCACTGGGGGAGGGCTCGTGGATGCGCACTGCTGAGGAGTCCTATACTAGGACGAAACGGCCGTCCAGTGCTTCCAGGTTTCATGATGGTAAAACTCCTAAACTCTCCACAAAACCCCTTCTGGTAATTTCAATAGTTGAAATCATGAGTCAATTGAAGCTAGATCACGATGACAAACCTAGAAGTACTGGACGAACGTTTCATCTTATTGTGGGATTCCTAAGAAGTGCTCATCCACGATCATGCCTCATGAGATTAGGACCCAAGACCTATCGGACTCCTACGCGAGTGCTTACTCATTAGGTTACTGAGTCGGCCGGCATTAAATGATGTTAATGTCTCATTTCAAGTAATCCACGAACTTGAGCGACACATCCACCATTGTGTTCAGTGACTTACTATCTCACAACGGACCCGGTTGAAATCCATTTGTTTGAAAACTTGAGATCAAATGAGAAGATTCAAGTAAATACTACCAAGTGAATTTTAAACTTCATCCCATTTTACAGAGCTAGTGGCTGTCAGTACTCAGTAGCTAAGTGGATGGTATTTGAAGCGAAAGATACTGAGTTCGAGTCTCAGAGTGAATATCAATTCTGAGATGCAGGTACATCCATCTGACGAGTTGCAGATAGGACGAAATGTGTGTCCTGGATTTCACTACTATCCACTATACGTCTTTGTTTATGATGCTTGTGAATTAAGGCAATATCGAGGTAATACGCATAGAATGCACATATGCCAGTAAGAGACTGATCCATTGTAGTCCTAAACATCAATGGGAAGGTTCAAGTAAATAATAGAAAGTGGTCTGAAAATAGTTTTGAAAAAAGATTCACTGAACAAGATGTTGGGATATCCTACCAATAAAAATATGATATTATTTAAATTGATAGATTATATCCTAAGCAGTTGCTGTCCTGATTATTTCTAAATGGAATCCTACTTCAAAGCAATAAATAAACCATATATAATGAGCACTGGGTAACGCTTTTTCCCCAGAAGTACCAAGGTCTCAATTAAAGCTCGAATCTGGACTGTACAGAGAGCAAATTACTTTTAGACCACTGTGCTAAGAACCAATTATTCGTAATCAAACCTAGCTTGGGTTATGAATATAGATTTTAACGGAGTCTCTAATTCTAGTTGTCAGTGCCTCTTTAGCTGTTATCGGTTTGTGGTGAAAACTATTTCATGTTAATTAATTTTACCAACATACTCGAACAGACGACCAACATTTATCAGTATAAACCAAAAGAATTATTGAATAAAGAGTTATTAATTTATGGGTCATGTTATCTGCTAACTGTTCATTTGAACTGATGGGATAATTTAATAGTTAATCACATTCCCCAAGATATCACCATAATAGTCAAATGAAAATTGGAACCATGAGCTTGTCAATATTATTCTAAACAATCTATTCATGATCTATTATAAAATATATCCACTTAAAATAGCCTTCAGTAAAGCTTGATTTTAACAAAATGACAGTCTTTAGTTGTGTTATAATCACATTGTAGTAGCCACTAATGGATACGAATGTAAAGAACAGAAAAGATCATCTGTACGTATAAATGAATATGAAAAGTAACTAGGAAAGGAGTGCAGAAATATAATATTTTACCAGAAGTAAAGTCATAATCGAAAACAAATCAAGTTAATTTATTACTAAAAATTCTGTTTTCAGTACGGGGATTTGTGGACATTGTAGTATTTTCATAGTTAAACTCACTAGTCGATCTATATTAGACCATGGATCAATTGAAGTTATACGTTAACTCCAGTGGATACCGGTTCAGCAGTCTAGACGTCAAGTGTTCGTACGTGAGACCAAAGGTCATGGGTTTGAGTTTCGTATGCGATATCGTGGATACGCACTGCTGAGAAGTACCATACTAGAACGAAACGACTGTCCCAGTGCTCCCATGTTTTCACTAGTGGTCTAGCTTAGATCAACTCGTGAATCCGACCATGGAAATTCTGTTTTTGTAAATTATTTGATGCCTATCATTAGAAAGAGAATTTCGAGCAAAAGTAAGACTTTTACGTTGTCATATTTCAATCTGATTAATTTAATCATGGGTTTCAATAGTGTAATATGAAGATGATTATCAGAACTATCTGATGATGATATATATTAGCGCAATAAATTTCGAACAATCTGATCACACACAATACACTTGTTTAGAACATTGATATATATAAAGAAATAAAAGGTCAGCTAGACTGGAAATGGGGTAAGAGGAGACAGGGTTAATTAAGAAAATAATGTGGAAACAATTTGAAACTTCATCACTTTGGATAATAAGGGTAGATTTAATGTGAAAACAAACTGCTCTTGAATACACAAAGAGGGTCATTTCAGATGGAATATTATTAGTACATGTGTAAATACATCTATCGTTACTCAGTCAGTCAGCAACAAAGTAGAACTTCGTACATACATACATCAGCCCGAGTTGCCATACCACATTAGAACACATATACTATTGTCGATTCAAATCCCGTAGTGGTAGAGGTAGTAAAAGTATAAGCAGTAATCGGAAAGATTAGGACTTGAAGATGTTATTCAAGGATTATAATACAGTGAAATGAATTTGGAAAGAGAAAAAAGAAAGAGACACGAAGAATTCAGAAGATTAGAATTTGGGAGAACACAAGGAGTGGATGCACCTGCACCATCGCAAACGATTTTGAGCTATGTCATTCAGGGTCTCTAACCACCGTTTGCTATCGTCTAGCGGATCTCAACCAGGTAGTCTACACCTACCAACGTGACTCAGTCCAATTATCAGTGACTTGATGGATTTGTGCCATGTTTTGTTCTGGCCACCCCTATATTTCTTCCAACCTACTCCTGCACCATGAAACATCGCTCATCGTGGCATTCGGTGGTTGGGTATACGTGGCATGTGTCCCAGCCATCTCAACTGATGACGTTTCACAATTTCATCAATTGATTTACCATCCTTACCTAGTACCCGTTTCCTAACAACTGCATTACTTACTCAGTGGTCCCAGGATGTACAAGTAATGGTTCGAAGATACCTATGATCGAATACTAGTAACCTACGAATATCCTCTACTCTTACCGGTCATGTTTCACAGCCATAAAGTAGGTATCAGTGAATGGATTACTTAGTAGAGCGAACATAAACTTAACCAGTATACAGTTTGTTTTTTGAATTCGGAACTTTATTATCACTTCGCCTTAGTTGTTTTATCCCAGATACAAGAAAAATAGAAGATATATCAGATCCATGATTATTATTATATCATAATTAATTCATCTCTTAATCTATGGTAGAATAATTTAGAGCAATTTCATTTACAAAGTCATTCATTGCAATGCAGGTTGACCGTCTCCAGAATAGCTGTTCTTTGAAATCTTTCCAACAGATCTTATTAACCTTTTAAATAATGGTCTATGGCCTGAAAACATTTTTCTAGTTTACATCTCACTAGGGTTACTTTTAGTGTGGGAAGCATATTTTCATTTAACTCTTTAGAATTTTATCTTAACTCTAATACACTTCCAAAGCATTTGATTGTATTCAAACGGTAATAGTTTATAGTGTGCGAGTAGCGGAGTACTTTGACTCCAAAGTTACTATATATATGAACTAATAATAAATATTCTTCGTTAATCTTCGAGTGATTCCTGTAATTTGTATTGATCAAATGCTTCGATTTTTGTTTTAGAAACTCCTTTAATTTCTAAGTTGCATTCACTATTGGTGGATCTCAGTTAAAATTGCATTGAAAACTGGAGAGCACTAGATAGTTTTTTGTGTCCTATTATAGAATGACCCAGAAATTTATATTCAAGATGCTTTCCAAGATGAAATATAGCATATTTAGGTTACAGGTTGGTGATAGGTTTGCACTAGTGAGTAACCCTATACTAAGATGAAGTCGTTATACGCCATCTTCTGATTGCTTATTTAACGTTGATCTATGACATAAACTAAAGATCGAACAATCTTTACAAACCTCTTATACTAAATCGTTTTTATTACACTCATTAATTAGTAGTAAATCTCATGTTTATTAAATAACTATCCTTTATCTGGATAGTAAACAAGGATGTACGGCATGGTATTTCGATAGCTGTTGTAAAGATTTTCAATTGTTCTGACGTGAGTGTCCTTTGTAGCTTCATATTTTGGTCCTCTGTGACATGTTGGTATTT